AAATTTCCCTCCTTCCCTACCTAACTATCTGCATTCCTCCACAACGCCTACTTAGTGACTTTTATTTGTTACTCATAAATGGTAACATTAACAGAAAACTGAGACTGCAGCACCAAATGCAAAATGCTGTTTACTTAATTTTCCCATAAAATTACTTTCTAAAAGTTTTCTTTCCCCTTATTAGAAGCAATTAAAGTTCAGATGGTTTGGCATTTGTTTTTAAAGAATTTTGGGTGGAAGCAATTTCAGCCCACAATGAGAAAATAAAACTAATAGCAAGTGTCACTGCAAAATTTTCTGGAGTTGAAAAAATATCATTTCTTATGATGTGTTCAAATGTCAAAGGGAAGAACGAAAATATGAAGGCAGTTAAGTTTTTTTTTTTCATTTGTTAAATTTAACTAATAACCTCATTATTGTTTCATTACAACGTGTTTAGTGGATTAATACTTTGACTATTACGTATTAACTATTTGAACAAACTGACATTTTGTTTCTAATCACTTTTAAAAGTTAAAACTAGAAACATAATGCAAGAAGTTAATTTGATTGCAATGAATATAACAAGTGATTTTCTGTCTGGATTTCTTGGAGGAGTGCCATTATTTACATTAGAACTGTTGTCTTTATCTTTGTTGTTATTATCTCATTTCTACCCAACAGCCTTTATCAGCTAATATATATATATATATATATATATATATATATATATATATATATATATATATATATATATATATATATATCGATCCGTGTAACTTACAGGGAATTCCAAATTGAACCCTTTATTTTATCTAAAACTGTAAACTGTTCCCATTCCACTGTCCATGTCTAAGACAAAAGCCTAGTGAATTAAAGCATTGGTTCGTGAATTTGGTAACATATTTATTGTGAGTTCAATCCCTGGGCTAGGTAGTGCGGACTTGGATACAGGACAAGCAATAAGTGAAGAGTACTAAATAAGTTCGTTGTTTTGTTTTATGGCATATCAAAACCTCAGTGGGTCATTTAATGCCAACAAAATTTTTGAAATAGATTCATAGCGATAGTTTGGTAAAAAAAAAGGTGTGTATATATACATATATATTTCAAGAGGAGAGAGTGGATTGTTGTCACTTGGTGACGATTGAAAATCTGCCGGACCGAATTGTGCAAGTCGTGTAATCAATAATGGCTCAGAATTGGTAATTGGCAAGCTGAGTTCAAATTCCTGTTGGGTTCATTATATTCACTTATGTGCAAATACCCTTGGTAAAGGTATGAATCCACCTCTTCTCACCCCAGTTATGGGTTAATTAGTAAGTGGAGTCGAGTGGGTGATGGGCAAAAGGGGTTATACATGGCTAGTTATTCGAGGCGTGTTTGGGTCAACAAAAGTTTCACTCGACAGAACTGACTAATTTATCTGAATGTGTCCGTTCCAGTGATTTATAAGAATCTACTTACAGTCCACGCCTTATTTTACCTCGTGGCTGGACGTATGCTGTGCAGTCTTGCTAAATGTTACAGAGTTCACATGCTTCACATAACAGTTTTTGCCTTGGAAGCCAGTTCAGTTTATAGTTATATATATATATATATATATATATATATATATTTTGAGAAGTTAATATCAAAGTATTGCACATCTGTATTGCACGAAAAGAGCTAATTTAGAGTGGCATCTTAAAGCGACTGTTTAAGAAAATGATTTTATATTTTGGGGAATGACTTTGTCAGCCCATCGCCAGTTCAGGTAGAATAATATTTTATTGTGTGTGTCGGCGGTGTGTGGTTTTTGAATCTGGTTAACTTAGACAGGGAAAATACGCCCATTGCTTTTTTGTTTTTGTTTGCCACACTTCCGTTTCTCAGTTCCCCCCATTCTTCATTAGATGACAGAAAGTAAAGATCCCCAACATTATGGAAATGTTTTGATATGTTAACTTTTTCATTTGATATGTTAACTTTTTTCTGTCTATATTTTTGAGATGAGGTATTATGTACACTATTTACATTATTCGGACGATGATCCTCATCTTTGTTGCCATATTTATTACAACGTTTCAGCACTTCAGTATCTGTCTCTATTTCTGAGATGATGTATTATGTACACTATTTACATTATTCGGACTATTGTCCTCATCTTTGTCGCCATATTTATTACAACGTTTTGGCCATGTCGCCATATATGTCACCATATTTATTACAACGTTTCAGGTGGTTGGAATGTCGCACTGAACCCTTTATTTCGCTCACTGGGTAGACTGTTCTAGTTCCACATGCTATGTTTATCAGTTATCTCCTGTTAATTCCCGTATGAAAGTTCTCCACTGCCTTAACAGGGTATTGAACTCACACTCTTTGGGTCCTTGCTGTTATCCTTGCATGTTTTTACCAGAGCTCATATCGCAATTTTTCTTATAATCGCTTTTCTCTGGCACTCCTTATTACTGGTTCCCATATTGTATTCATTTCTTTGCTTGGTCGGCTCAGGAGATTTTTGTGGCCTAGCATATGTGCAGATTCCTTAAGTTTACGAAATTTCCAATGTTGTTCTCTGTCTATGATCTCAACCTGATCCCTCAGAGAGTGGTGATCTCCCTTCTCTCTCCATATGTGTTCAGCCACGCCTGATTTTTCCACTTCCCCTCGTGTTACAGCTTTCTGGTGTTCTTGAAGCCTTACCTTAAGGGGGCGGCCTATCTCCCCTTTATATTTCTTTCCGCAGCTGCACGGGATAGCGAAAAGCGATAATAACAACAAAAATTGCAATATGAGCACTGGTAAAAAAAAGGTTGCTGAAGACATTAGGTTTATAATTAGGTTATAATACCCAGAAATTCATACACAGATGTCCTCAAGGACGCATGACACAGTGGATAAAAGTGTTAGTTAGATCCAGTTAGGACCCAAAGAGTGTGAGTTCAATTCCCGGTTAAGGCAGTGGAGAACTTGAAGAGGGGAATTAACAGGAGATAACTGATAACTGATATCCATTAAACATGGCACGTGGAACTAAAACAGTCTATCCCAGTGAGCGAAATAAAGGGTTCGACATTCCAACCACCTGAAGAAGGCCGGAGCGGAAATGGGCGAAACGTAATAAATATGGTGACAAAGATGAGGACAATAGTCCGAATAATGTAAATAGTGTTTTTCATTTGTCTTAGTTTTTCGCATATTTTCACCTGATTAATTTACTGTTCCGTCATATTAGATTGTTGATTATGGCACATATTAATGCATTTTTGCAAATATATTTAACCACACAGAGAAATGAATACAATATGGGAACCAGTAATAAGGAATGCCAGAGAGAAGCGATAATAACAACAAAAATTTCAGTATGAGCTCTGGTAAAAACATAAAATGATAACAGCAAAATTTGCAATATGAGCACTGGTAAAAAAACTGTTGCTGAAAACATTAGGTTTATAATAACCAGAAATTCATGCACAGATGTCCTCAAGGACACATGGCACAGTGGATAAAGGCATTGGTTAAATCCAGTTAACAGGAGATAACTGATAACGGACATCCATTAAACATGGCACATGGAACTAGAACAGTCTATTCCAGTGAGCAAAATAAAAGGTTCAGTTCTGAAAAAGGCCGAAACGTTGGGATAAATATGGCAACAAGGATGAGGACAATAGTCCGAATAATGTTGCCATATTTATTACAGTAGTTTTCAAAATTGGAACAAAAAATGTATCTGGTTAAAACCGTAATCACTCTTTTATAGTGGAATACACAGTTTAGCTGAAATGTGACATTAGGTAATAAAAATTCAGAAAATACTTTGATGAGTCTATAAAGATTTGATCGTTGTATTTGAATCAAATATTTTTTAATAGAATTTCCCGAAATGTTTGCATCAACGCACAAGGAGTCGTGCTCCCCTCCTTGGAGGGGTGTACGCGCATTATTTATCATCTCTCAGTTGCTTCTCGGTCGTTGGACAGAGTGCGCTCAGGGGCTTCTCTGTCCTCAGACAGAGGGGCAACTGAGGAAAATTATACTGAAGAGGTGCCCAGCCCGGGGGAAAGCTGCCCGAGGCCGCGCCCTCCCATTGCACCAGAGGGAGGGATCGGTGCTCGTGATTGAGGCCAAGCGCAACCCGGCCATTCTGGGGCTGAGGGAATTTTGTCCCTGCCCGAGTGTGCACGCACTGGTCCCCACATTAATCCGACCTAGGTCACATCTCATTCTCGTGGGAGAATGAGTAAACACTGCACAAGGAGTCATTTATACTATTTACATTGCTTGGACTGTTGTCATCATCTTTGTTGCCATATAAACGACGTTTATGAACGTCATAGGTACGAACATTCACCAAAATTCAAACTCTTCACGCCCACACACAAGCACAAATATTGATGTCTTTGTCACTTGTAAATTTGTTGTTTAATACATATATTTATTGACATTATATATATATATATATATTATAAATCAATTGATTTAAAATATATTTTTTCCGCTACACAGTTCTAACCATGTTTCAAAAATGGAAGCTAAAAGCCACGAATTTAATTTTGCAATTAAATTAAAGACATTAGTTCCATTTCATCCTCAAGCGAGTGTGTGTGTGTGTGTGTGTGTGTCTGTCTTTGGACACCTCGAGGCGGTGTAATGGTTAGCGAGCTTGTCTCGTTAGGATAATTAAGACTGAGTAGTGAGTTCGATCCTCAGTGTGTGCCTCCTACTTTCGGCCTTGTGCCACATCTAAGCTACGCTTGGAAAATCATTATATATATCGGTCTTGTTTGTTTTCTTTCCGGGACATATCAATATGTTTATTTCATTAGCAGCTTTCACCCAACTCAGGATTGAGAGTTTATGGTTTTCATTTTTGTACCAGGAATAAACTGAAATAGAACCAACAACTAAACAAAAGTGTGTCAGAATAAGAAAAGAAAAACAAACTCTTAAGTCGAAACAGGATCATCATTTTTCACATAAAATCATACATTATAAATAAGATTTGTTTTATTTCACTTTCAATAGTCTCTCTCTCAATGAGAAAATCTTTTATTTAAAACAATTTCTTTGGCAAATTCTGGGCCTTGTTTTAACAAATAATAATAATTATATGCTTTACTGTTGAGGTCTTTGTTTCGCGAAGCAACACATACCTCCAGCAAACGTCCAAGCAGGTGTTGGCATTTGGCTGGACGCATGAGAAACAATTTCATAACGGCAGTCAGCAGATATGTCCTTATGACATCCGGACACTCTTCCAGGTAGTTACCAATGAACTCCTCTAAGATGTACGGACTGTCATCCAACAGGTGACCGTATTCACCAATCAGGAAAAGGTTAGCACAACAGCCGTTCTCATTGGTTGGCTGGAGATGACTCTTTGAACAGATGATTTGCATGAGATTGTCAAGACGTGCGTAAGACCTCAGATCGAGCAATTCAAAGACCTGAAGAACATTTGCCCAGACACTATCTTCCGGAATCTCTAAAAGCTCTTCAAGTTTCTGGACACAGCGATCAAAGTAGTCAGTGTCCTGCTTGGAGATTTGACCAATAGCTTTCATGGCACTGAAGGAAACCATAGAAGATACTTCAGAACAATACATGCGAAGTTCCCCGAGAATTTCTAGAAAGTTATGGGGAGTGACCAATCGAGGCAGGATTTCGATCTTTCTTATTTTCAGGTAAGGGGGTTCCTTGAAGCGGCAGAAAAATGATTTGTAACATTCGCAAAATACAGATTTCGAATCATCCAAGAAATTCTCAATGAAGACAATGATAGAATAAGTGAGTTCGACATTTCCTGAGTTTAATCCTGAAACAAACATTTCCTTACATCGAAAAAGAACCTTTTCTTTCAAATGTGGCAGCGTACTGATATAAAGGAGGAAAAGTTGCAGGGAATGCATGAAAACAGAATAGGATGATTCCTGTAGATGGGTATCTAAAATATTTAGAATGTCAAAGGTCTCTTCTTCCGATTTCAGCGTATACTTTTTGAGAAGAGTTAGCACATAAGCCTGACCCCAGCTGGTAAATTTGGGCATACTGAGAAGCAGGTGGTACACCATTTTTTGGTTGATGACAACCCCACCCTCGTCTTTAAGGATTTCCTCCAAAGCTAGCAAACAGTTAACCACAACAACTGGATCTGAATCCCGGATTAGGCTATACAATTTATCCACAATACCCATCTCGATGACTAGATCCGGGGAGAGACGGTGCAATCTTACTGCAGACAAAATGGCTATCCGTCGTACGTATGAACTGTGATCAACAAGACCCTTCTGTACGGCTTGTAGGATGTGTTCCGAGGCTGATTCTTGCCTTAATGAGCTAAGCGTACGGAGGGAGAGACCCCTCGTCATGGGAGAGCTGTCAGAACAGTCACGAAGAAGAGAATTCACAACAAGTAGCATGAGGTCAGAGCTTTTCTCTGTTTGTACACAGACAAATTCACAGGCGACTTTTTTCACCATTGGGTCAGGGTGGGCAAGAAGTTTGGCGATGTGTGGGGAAAGGTTTGAAACATCCACACCCCGGCCAATCATATTCATCACCTGTAGAGAAAAAGATAAATAAAATAAAATAAAAATAAATTCATTATGAAAATCAAGATTAAAAAAATATTTGAATCAATTTGTTTTTTCAAAAAATATTTGTTTTCAGCACTAGACTACTCAAGAGCCACCCAAACGAGGGTGTTACAGTCAAAATGGCAATGATGAATGAAAAAAGGAAGATAAGATAAGAAGGATATATAACAATTGGACATATAACTTGAAGTGGTTAAGATTGGGTTGGTCAGGGAAGCATTCACAAGGGAGTCTGTTCCACAAAGTGGCAGTACTTAAGAAAAAAATTGTCTGATAATTACTTTGGCATGGAAGTGGAGAAAAAGAAGCCCCCCCCCTGACTGAAAAAAAATCATACAGAATAATAAAAAAAATTCTTCTCTATGATATTTTTATTAAAAAATATTACATCACATTTTTTATCTGTCTATATTTCTGTTTGAAATTTCAACTAATATCAGCTGAAGAAGGCCAGAGCATACAATGGCTGAAACATTGTAAATATGGCAATAAAGATGAAGACAACAGTTTTAACAATGAAAATTGTGTTATATATTTTATCAAATGCATTAAAAAAATTGTTTTCTATGAAAATATATTTAAAAAAAAAAGAAGGAAACTACACTCCACAAAAAAAGATATATTGTCATTGCTCTACATTATTTAGAAAAAGACTCATGACATTTGAAAAAAATGTTGCTTTTCTTTGGTAGGCATTAAAACATTCTTTTTTTTTTTTAACATACATTGTAAGGTTTTCATTTTTAATTTTTTCACTGCCTGCAAAACTTGATTACAGTCCTCTTAATTTTCATCTATTTTTTGTAAAGTAATTTTTCATTTTAATAGGAAAATCTTATTTCATATAAAAAGTTAAGAATACATTATTTTAAACAAGTTTTGTTAGTGTTCAAAATAGGTACTGAAAAGTTTTTGACCCAATATCAGAATTTGGGCTGGAAATCCATTTCATAAGAATGATGATTGAATATAAATGTTTATTTAAATTGCTTTGATTGTCTTTTGATATAAAAATTACAAGCTATTTCATTTCCATATCTAAGAACCTTTTGCAAATCTTATATAAATGACAATTTAGATACCACCCAAATGAATGCATATTTTTCCAAAATAAAAAACAAGATATCACCAGTTTTTTAAAAAAAATTACTAAACATCAGAGAATTATGATATAAATTAATTTTTCAGTACTTATTCTTTAATGACTGAATTGTATACTTTATAGGTTATTTTATTAGAAAGCGTGGGGGGGGGTTTACCCCATCCACTGATTTTGATACATCATGAATACTTTTAAAATTGGAGCTCAGACAAAGATTTTTTATCCCAAAAAAAAAAAAAAAAAAAAAAATATTCCTGAAAAATTATCTCCTGAAATCTTACAAAAATAATTCTTGTTAGTGGATGCGCTTGCATAAAGCATTATTTTCTTTCAGATTTGACTGAGGAAAAATAATCTATAATGAATATTTATTTTTGAAAATTTTATGTGTGATTTTGAAATTATTCCGGTTTTTGATAACAAAAGAAATCTTTTAATTAAATAAAAGGTGTGTCTGAAAAATCAAAAAAAATGTAAAGTTTGATGCCATTTCACATCAAAAATATTAGACAAACTCAAACATGTGGTAATTTTCAAATTAGGCATCAAAGACGATTAACACACATCAGATGTCAGCCTAAAAGCAGATTCTCCAGTCTCTCTTTATCCCTTAAAACCCCTGTTCAATTATTGCAATGGACTGTTCCATTTGAAAGCGGAAGGAAACATTAAGCAAATTCTACAAACTGGATCGTGAAGTAAGCTGATCATTAATTGTGAGTACAATCCTCATTGGGTACCCTGTACTTCTAGTCCTGGGTATGACAATAAGCTACAACCTGCAGCAAGATTTGAGGTTTTGAGGAGCATGGAAACACCTCTTAACTGTTGTTGTTCCCAGGTCCCCACCCTGACCCCCCCAGGGGGGGTAGCACCTGTTAGAGTCTCAGCTAGGGGCAAATAGTGACCCCACCCCGGCCACAAACAAAAACAAAACACTATGAAAGTATAAAAATACATTTTTATAGTAGAATTGGCAACAATACATTTTATAACAAAATGACTAACAATACATTTTATCTGGAGTTCAAGGCATGTAATTGCATTCAAAATATTTAGACTTAAATAATCCATAGAGATGTTGATATGCCATGTAACCAAATCAACCAATGCTTGTGTTAAAATTAAGCTAATTACATTAAATAACAGAGGAACAGTGTTGATTAAGAAAGATGGTGATAAAAATTTATCTAAATATATGCAATAATGAATATTACACACTCTTCATAATTAGTATTTGTCTATATTTCTGAGAGGGAGTATTATCTTCACTATTTACATTATTCGAAATATTGTCCTCATCTATGTTATTTTATATTTATTACAATGTTTCAGCCTTTCACTATCTGTCTATATTTCTGAGATGAGGTATTATGTACACTATTTACATTATTCGGAATATTGTCCTCATCTTTGTCGCCATATTTATTACAACGTTTCAGCCATTGTACGCTCCGACCTTCTTCGGTTGGTTGGAATGTAGAATTGAACCCTTTATTTCGCTCACTGTTCTAGTTCCATGTGCCATGTTTAATGGATGTCACTTATCAGTTATCTCCTGTTAATCCCCCTCTCCAAGTTCTCCACTACCTTAACCGGGTATTGAACTCACACTCTTTGGGTCCTGTCATAATTAGCATTTTAACAGTAATCCTCTGCCTTAAGTAGCTCTAGAGCCTTGGGTTAATTTAAATATTTAAAAAAATCATTTCAGGTGATAACATCTTAAGACAAGAATGTCATATTTGAACGTTTAAAAGACGGATAAAAGAAAAGCAAATTCTGTGGATCTGAAATGATATCAACTAGAATTGCAGCCGAAACATCTCACTTGGAAGATGACATCACATTCATTTGATACTTCAAAACTAAATTAGTCATATTTTCTCATCATCGAGCAAACGCTGAATTTTTATCTATTTCCAGTTTATCTAATCATATTTATATATATATATATATATATATATATATATATATATATATATATATATAAAAATAAAAGTATAAAATTTAATATTACAAGACATATTAAAACAATATTAAATAATAAAAAAAAACAAACAAACTCAACAACAAGGGGGGGGAAGCAACCGGTTTCGCTCCCGCTCTTCAAAACTTCCACAGGAGATTCAATATTAAAACAGAGAAATGTACAATGTGAATAGGTGGAAAAAAAAAAAAAAAAATACGCATATATATATATATATATATATATATATATATATGTTTCTAGTTCCTTCAAACATATATATATATATATATATATATATATATATATATATATATTGCACAATTATATTATATATATATATATATATATATATATATATAAACAATTTAAATAGAAGTTGTTAGATGGACTTTTGAGTAAAGCAAAAATCATCTTGCCTTCTCTTCTTATCATGAAACAAAACAAATACATTTCTGTTTTCAGACACAGAATTTATACGTAACGTTAACATTTTGAAAATTGAAGATTTATTGATATTATTATTGTGCTTACAAAGATGAAATTTTTAAAATACTTTTCTCTGTAGTCGTTAAAATAAGTAAAACAAATAAAGTTACTAAAATTGAGCAATGGAATCAAAGAAAAATTTAAAAAAAAAAAAGGTCACTTTCTATCAAATGAAACTTTTTGGCTTTTATTAATAGTTGAAAAAGGTCAAAATCTTATTCTTAAGTGCCAAACAGATGTTGATATTTTTTTAGGGAATTTTCTGACCCCCACCCTTACACTTATTAAGATCATTCCGTTTATTAATTTCATACTTTCTAAGCATTTAAATGGTTTTCTGACCAACCATTTATGAAGACCACCCGCTTGCTGTTTGCGGCATATTAAAAATAAATACGATTCCACTGATTATTAAAACCCACTCCCCCCTTTTTTATTAATGCTGCAATTCACATTGTTAAAAAAGTAAGATTAAGCATTAGGGTAAAAACAAAAAAGGTTATTTGAGTTTTCAGTGAAGTTATATTTGCCATTTGGCTTGGAAACTATCATTTTTTCTACAAATCAAACATCAGTTCAGCATTTCTTTGGTTTGGTTTACTTTGCTTTGGATTATGGTATATCAACACCTCAATGGGTTATTTAATGCCGACAAGATTTTTATTGCTGGTAATATTTTTTCCTTCAAAAATGTATTGCTGGTATTAAAACCAATTTTTACACTTTCATAGTACCTTAAGCCCAGTTTAGGGGCTAACTATTTGCCCATAGTTGTGACCCTAACAGGTGCTACTACCACAGGTCAAGGTGGACCTGAGAACATCAGCAATTAAGAGGTGGTTCCACGCACCTCAAAACCTCTTGATTGTAGGCCTTGCTGTTTATTGTCTTACCCAGGAAACAGATGCAGCTTATCGTCATACCCAGGACGTCAGCATTTCTGAGACTGTTTATAATGCCATTCGAAAGAACATATCATTGAAACTTGACTTTTCTGGATATTTTTCAATAATTAAATTTTTGAAGTATGTCACCATTTAAAAACATTACACAGACTTTTAATTTTTACACCATGTACTTAACTGAATTTTTATGTGTTCAGTTAATTTTATTTAATTTTTTACTTTTTTTTAGAATTAAAAGTGTTACTTAGTTCTGAAATGTAAATGAGTTTTTGACCAATACTTAATTACATTATTTATACTAGGATTAATATTCCCATCTTTGTTGTTATTATCATAACGTTTCAACCCTAACTCTGTAGTCAGTGCAAAATAATAATAACTCTCTTCACCAACTCTGTTCAAATTCAGAAAACTGAAGAAGAAGAAAGAAAGGAATTTGTGAGTCTATGTAAAATTTTTGGGGGACCAATGAAAATCTTTCTTCACAGAAATTAGCCAGTCAGCCAAGAAGAAGAAGGAAAGGAAGTAAAAAACCTACAAAAAAATTCTTTTTGATATAAAATGATGAGAAATATTAAATTAAAGAGAAGAGTGCCTGAAGCCATGTGAAAGGTTTTGTTTCAGTTCCTAGTGTTGAAGAACTTGCTAGTGTAAAATTACTTGCCAATTATATTATCGGCCTCTAACCAGCACGGAGCACTTCAATATATTTCTCTCATCAATCCAAGAAGGCTCAATATTTCAATTTATCTCTCTTCGTCTACTTTTGAAAGTATGCAACCATATATCCATTTGGTGAGAAATGAACTCTCTTACATTTGTCTTAAACATTTTTGAATATTATTTTGTGTCAGAGCATTTAATCTGTTATATGAACATTTCCTCTTCATGACAATATGTTAAAACTATGGTCTCTAAGAATTCTGATTTTTTTTTTCCTGAAACAAGCTACTGACACAACTTCAAATGTGTAAATTTGTGAATAAATTCCTTATCTTGTTTTACCCATTTTTCCTTGAAAATCTTATTGAAGTGGGTTAATCAACAGTTCATTTTAACCTTATGCCTCATGCCACTATAATTCTGACTGGCTTTCATCAGGTGCTTGTCAATCCGGGTAACTTTCAGAACATTCCGACCTATACCCTATTTATGGGGGTACATTGTTCTCGTTCCACTGCCTATGTCTATGGATAACTCATCTCATTCTTATGCAGTTCTACTCAATTATTGCTCAAGTTGTTTTCACTGAGTCTGTGTCTCACTACCCAGCCCAGGAACTGAACTCACAGTTACTATATCACCAACTTCACAAACCAATGTTTTAATCTAGTAGAAACTGTGTGGGAAATAACCGAGCAGTACTAAATAAGAACAAGACGAGATATCCCTAGGCATGATCAGTGAACAAGAACAATCTAGCTCCATACATTAAATAAAGTGTTCAGTTCCCTACCCAGATTGACAAGCACCTGAAGAGAACTGGAGGGTACAGTAGCCGAAACATTGTGATAATAACAACAAAGATCAGGGCAATATGTGTGTAAATAATGATAACTCCTCATCACAGAAATTCAGAGTAACGAATATTTTAAAACTTTTTTCTTGTTTTCTTTCATTATGTACATTATTCGGACAGTTATCCTCATCTTCATGGCCCAGTGGATAAAGACATTGCTTAGATCAAGTGACTAGACCCAAATAGTTGTAAGTCCAATACCAGGCTATAGCAGTGGTGAACCAAAAACCTTGGACAATTGAGTTAAAGGGAAATAACTGAGACATCCAGAAGAGGCATGACATGTGGAATTAGAACAATCTACCTCTGTGGATGAAATAAAGTGTTTAGTTTGAAATTCTAATCATCTGAAGAAGGCCGGAGCATACAACAGCCAAAACGCTGTAAATATGGTAATGAAGATGAGGATAACAGTCCGAATAATGTAAATATAATGTAAATAACCATAATACCTCATATCAGAGATATAGACTGACATTTTTTTTTCATCAGTGATTGCTGGGGAAATAGGTATCACTAAATAAAATGATTCATTTGAAGGAATGTTTGCCGTTTACAAGAAACAAAAAAGAAAGCAATAATTCAGTCACATGGATTGAAAATTTGTCTGTACCATTAATTCAATTGCAAAGAAATTTAATTGGCAGATGAATTTGGACAAAGTGAAAAATTTGACAGATCAGCAAATTAACTTCTGATATAGTTGCACATTAAATTGGTTAGTGAAATGATAAATTTAAAAATAGGGATGTTCACAAATATTCACAGATTCATGATACCAAAGATTTAAAAAATGTATTTTTAAAAATAAAAATTATTCTTGAAGCTTTAATTCAAAAGGTAAAGGAATATAAATTTAACCAGTAAGCAAAATTCTTTGGTTGGTGTATTTGAAACCGAATTTATTATTGGATGGAATGTTTTTTGTTTTCAGTAAAAATAATCGAGGATGTCTGCTATTTTTGAGACATTTGTAAACAAAAGTTTCTCCGTTTTAAATTCTTGCAAACATATAAATATATACTTTTTTTTTCAATGGTTATATGAAGAAAATTAGAAAATTTAAAGATTACTTAATAAAAAAAAATGAAAACGGGTTTAAAAGAACTAAAAATGGATTCTTAAATAAGGTAAAAAAATTCATTTTTAAAATAATTAAAAACAGATTCGGATTAAAAAAAAATTAATTAATAACTTCTTTATAATTCTGATGCAATTATTAATTAACTAACTCTTCTTCTTACTTAGTCTTATATTTTTTTAAATAAAATTATTTCCTTAACTCAAAAATTGTTCTTGAATATTTTTTCATAAAAGCAAAGCTTAAAAAACTTTTTCGGCAAATTTTTGAAAACACTTATTTTTGTATTTTTTTATGTTTTGAAAAGAAAAGGCCAAAAAAAAAACAAAAACAAAAAAAAAACCCAGACCCTCAATAAAGCATGTGACCCTCGAGTTGGAGAGGGTCTTTCTTTACTCTTTATTGACGATATAAAAAAGAAGAACCACGTAGAAATAGCAGAGAAATCAAAAGCCAAAAAGAGAAAGACAATAAGAGCCCCGCCCCAAATATTTGGAAAACATTTTTCAGTTTGGAACTTCAGAAAATAAATAAAGGAAACGACTAAATTGTTTTTTTTGTTTCTTTTTTAAACTTTACCTTGGCCATGAGATTTCGACATGCGGCAGGATCACAGAGAATTGTAGGATCTTCCAGTTGTCGTATAATATCGTTGATGCAAGTGGCTGCAATGTCCATTTTGTCGTCGGAATTTTTCCGTTGGAAACACTGACCATTACTTCAGACACTCAACAGAAAAAATAAAATAAAATACAACTTCCTTCTTCTTCTGCCACTTAACAAGAAATTCTATACGCGATTATCTCCCTTGATACCGATGTCCGAGGAAAAAAGTAACTAAGTAAAAAAAATTCCGGTTTTTCTAAAATTTCCTTATTTACATTTTTAAATTTGATTTCTTTAATTTAAAATGTTTAGATAGTTTAACTGTTAGTAGCGTGGCAAGTAAAATCGGTGAGCTGAGTTCAAATTCGTGTCGAGTTTGCTGCGTTCATTTTCGTACTAATGTCCCGGAAAAGTTAGAATCTGTCTCTTTTCCTCTACAACAATTAGCAGCGTAAACTGGGACCACTAGCCCTGTGTGGAAGCCACTCTAGGAGAAGGATTAATCTGAATTCGGAATCGTAGAGATGACTGTGAAAGTGGGGAACTATTATACGATCTTTCCCAAGAAAGAATGCGATTTCATTAATAATCAAGTAAAGGGAACCCGTAGAGAGCCATGATCGCCTACGTCCTGAAGGGAAACAGCAGAAAGGAAAAATGAGAATAATTGTCTTTTATTTAAGTTTCATGCAAACCTTTTTGGTCAAATGGATTTCGTGCATGTGATTGGAGAATGTTCAGATACAATATGATAGTTTTTACAATAATTTTTGTAAGTAAAATTTTAAAAATTAGAAAAATAGGAAAAATAAAGTACATTCAAAATAAAGTAGAAATAGCATTGTCGTCCCCACCCACCAGGACACAATCTTCACTAATGATGATGATGATGGCAGCGATCCAGTCAAATGATAAAAGTTTTTAATTAGAGGCAAAATTAATTCCAAGGGGCATAACTCATGTGTATATCTTTGACAGTAATCTACCTTGTAATTTATATTTCTTGATACAATACTTGGAATCAAAAAGTTATTTTTAAAAATATGATCTTCAAAAAAGGCTTACCCCCTCCCCAACACACATACCCCCACAAATATACATGAAGTGGAGTGACTATATATATTGAATCCGTTGCTAGGTCAGCTGCTAAGAAAGTTGGCTCACTGAGTCGTACTAGACAACTTTTATCTCCAGAATCTGTCTTTAAACCATGCCTCAAATATTACTGCCACATATGGTCCGGTGCAGCTGCTTTATATTTAGAGATTCATGATAAAACTTAAAGAAGAATCAGCAATATTATTGGTTATAACCTGGTGTCTCGGCTTCAGTCACTTCCCAACCGCCGTAAAATTGCTCTCCTGTGATTTTCTATAAATATTTTGTGTTTTTATTGTTTTATGATCTCTTCGCTATGCTATCTTCTAGACTTTATGAATTTAAGCGCAGTACTAGATTGGCAATGAGGTCTCAACAATTTACAGTTGAATTGACTAGATGCAACCGTAAGTTCTATGGTGGCAGTTTCTTTTCTCGCACTTCTCGCCTGTGGAACTCTCTTCCGGCACCATGCTTTCTAGCCAACTTTGACTTTCAAAGATATAAATGCAATTTCAATCGCTATCTATTGTCTTCCTGATTCTTCTTCTATTGTTCTCGCTCCTTGATTAAATTTATGTTTTCTAATTCTTTCACACCCACTTATCCCTTGTGTTTTAGTGACTTTACTGTGTGGCTTGGAATGATCTCGAGTAATATATATATATATATATATATATATATATATATATATAAAGAAAGAACAGTAAGATATATAATCCGGTGTTCTTATAGATATTTTTATTTTTACAAAATAGTGCTCAATGTAAATTTACAGAGCAATAATATTATAAATTAATTGATTTAAAATATTAAATTAATTGATTTAAAATATTAAATTAAAGACGTTAGTTCCATTTCATGCCCGTGAGGATGAAATGGAACTAATATCTTTAATTTAATTGCAAAATTAAATTCGTGGCTTTTAGCTTCCATTTTTGAAACATGGTTAGAACTGTGTAGCGAAAAAAACATATTTTAAATCAATTAATTTATAATATATATATATATATATATATATATATATATATATATATATATATATATATATATACGTGTAGTATGGACATAGGCATCAATATTGCATGCTGTCAGTTTCGTATTTAATATATATATATATATATATATATATATATATATATATAATAGAAATCCAAATTTACCTCATTCGAAAAGCTATTTCAACTAACAAGATGACCTCTATTGGCATTTTCAACTCAGAAGTGTGAAGGAATAAAATAGGAACTTAAAATTTAAACATTCAAAAAAATAAATAAATAAATAAATAAAAAAGAAGAAAAGAAAAAGGAAGAGAGAAATAAGAGAAGAAAGGAAGCAGAAGGCATTAAGTTAAACCAAGACCCTGCACCATGGGGAGGGGAAGGGGAAGAGTGTCTGACTCAAAAAGACAGTTAATATAACCTTGACCTATATTTTAAAATATTAACATCCCAAGTCAGGTTGAAAAAAAATCACAAAATTAAAGACATGAGTTCAAACAATTTTAAAAATTAAAATAGGAAGTATATGTATATATATATATAAAATATATATATATATATATATATATATATATATATATATATATATATATATATATATATATATATATACAGAAAAAGCTGTCTGCGTGCAATCTGTGGAGTTAAGCTTCAAGATAGGGCATCTAACGTAGACCTGTTTAACAGGTGTAATATTGGAGGAATCGAGACTTTTATCATACAGTCTCAGTTACGGTGGACTGATCATGTCTTGAGAATGTCTGATGACAGGATATCGAAGATCCTAATGTACAGTCAGTGAGATCAGGGCTACAGGAATGTAGGACGTCCATGGCTAAGATACAAAGACAAGCTGAAAAGCAACTTGCCAGCAGTCAATATACCACATAACACCCTTGAGCGCTTAGCTTTGGGGCGGATAGAATGGAGATCAACGTGTTTTAGTGGACTCAGCAATTTTCAATCTGCTTGTCTGAATCATCTTCAAGAAGCGAGAGCAAGATCTAAAAAGGTCAGCCAATCTAACAGTGATCTCATCTCACAATCCTCACACTTGCTCCATATGTGACCTCCTTTGTAAATCACTAGCGGGTTTTAAATGACACTTAAGATTATCGCACAAACTTTCATAACTGAATCAACTAAGCTGTCAGATCCTCATACGTCGAAACCGACGGGAGACTCCATTATTATTATTATATATATATATATATATATATATATATATATATATATATATATGAATTTGAATGGTTTCTAGATACTAGTCTTTTGAATTGGTCGGTCATACGCGTTAACTGGAACCGGTATATCCTCATCAATCCTCAAATTTAATTGAAATAAATTCTATAATAAAAAACAATCGTGATAAGAAGACGAAGTAAAAGAAGAAAATCTTATCTGATCTGATAATTTTTTCAAATAATTAGATATCAAATGATTAGATATCAAATGATTAGATATGGAAATGATAACGTTTGATCAGAATGATATAATTAATACAAGGGAACACAAATACGCAGTCACATAACGTCAGTAATTAAAATGGTTCTCAAATAAAATGGGAATAGGGAACTAATCCTTTTTTATTTGGTACAAAAAATCGCTTTCTAAACAAAAATGTATTTCGTGAAATGGAAAATGTTAGAAAGAAGAGAAAAGGTATTTGCAAATAATGAAAAAGAAAAAAGAGGGAGAAAAAAAACAGGAACACGGGAACGGTGTCACCGTAAGTTCTATGTTAATAGTTTCTCATATATATATATATATATATATATATATATATATATATATATATATATATATATTATCGCTTGTGAACTCTCTTCCAGCTTCTTGCTTTCCAGTCAACTTTTGATCTTCAAAAATTTAAATGTAATATCAATCGCTATGTTCTTTCTACTTAATTATTGTTCTTTTATTGTCCTCTCTTCTTAATAATATTTTTTCTCATATTTTTTCACACTCAGTAACCACTTTGTGTCTCAGTTGCTTTATTACCTTCCTTGTGGTGAAATGTTTAAAAAAAGAAGGAAGACACTGATGAGTCATAGAAATAACAGAATATGCTTTAACCTTTTCATTTGTTCTGCGGCTCTTATTCCAACTATAATATTTACCAAATTCTTCAGGAAATAGGCATGTAATGTTCATTTTATTTTATTCTTTATATGAATCTTTGTTCTTTATGCATTTTGTTTTTGTTTTTTATATGAAAACCAGGATAACGCATCATGGACAAAAGCAATTATTAAAATGTTTTGCAACAAATTCAAGCCTTTTGATAGCCAACGTTTTCAGGATTTAATCATTGATAAAAAATCGTGTCAAACTTTACAAATTATAAGAGATATTTCAAAAATAGGTTGATACAAATGTGTTAGACATTTCTTGACAAGATATTTTCATTTATGTAAATTCATATCACCTTTATCCAAGTATTAAATCATTTCCCATTGATTTTTATAAACTTGCCCACGTCTCAGCTAAAATGGGCTTTCTGTCCTCAAAGAAGGATTCCAGTTTTGGTTTGGGAGTTTAATTTTTAAAGGAATTTTTCAATATTTTAGAATTAAAAAACTCCGGGCATAGAAATAAACATAGTCTGAAAGTGAAAGGGGTCTGGGGATTATGGAAGAACTTCTAGCAATGTCCGAAAGAAAAAACTTCTATCAAAAGGACGGTTATTCCGTTGACACCGCTATTACTGTATACGCTTTGACTCCCTCGACAATATGTATTGCTTCAAAAAGCGATGATTAGAATTTTAATAAAACTTAAACATATGAATGTGGATTTATACATGTTCTTTATTCTTGAAAATTGACAACAGATATTAAACCCTATTTATATGTTAGATTGCAAGAATAATAATTTTAAATTTATAAAACATTTGAACCAACTATATAAAATATTTATTATTTACTATTTTATAAAGAAATAAATATGAAAAAAATCTGTTAAATTTATAAAAATGCCTGTGAACAAGAAAATTTAAATAAACACATAACGACGAATAACTGTAATTATATACATCCTTGTGCAAATTAATTGTGCAGGAAGATGTTGAGAGCCATGATCACCTACACCCTTGTGCAAATTAATTGAAACAAAACAAATAATTTCGTTGTTATTATTATTATTTTTTTAATTTTTCCAATGAAACACGACCCAATGCACTTGTTAGTACTTTGCATGTCCAATCCACAAAGTCGTTCCTTGAATATTGACCACAGATTCTCGATTGGATTTAAATCAGGAGAGTTTCCGGGACAGTCTATAGTACATTGATTTGCTCACTGGTAAGGTTTGTATTTGTGCAGCGTTACAATTTTCGTAGTCTTCCTTAGAGTAATGTCCACTGCAGACAATGGCCATAGGACAACTAATCGACAGTCTAGACAATGATGTCCGTGCCTGATAAAAATCTGATGCAATCACGGATGACACAATATTTTTCAAGGCCAAACAAATTTCATCATACATCCTGAAAATAGATTTCTATTACTGCACACCACTGCAAATAACCTAATCTGAGGAAAAATAGAAATCGATTGTACCCTGTCACTCCAGTGGATCTAAAACTGACCGTAGGGTGAAAGAAAGGAAACTAAGGCAGTTGTTTCAATTAATTTGCCAAAGGGTGTAGAAGCTGTATTTGAGGTGTTTTCGAGGGATGAATACTCATCTCATCGTCACGTATCGAGACACAATGAAGTCAGTTGCTTTAGTAAAATGTAGAAAATGATTCTTTGTAGTTTTCTAACAAATAGAAATGATAATAGCAAAAAACTGCAATATGAGCACTGGTGAAAAGTGGAAACTGAAAACATTAGGTTTATAATACCCAGAAATTCATACAGAGAGTCCTCAAGGACACATAGCACAGTGGAAAAAGGCGTTGGTTAGATCCAGTGACAGGACCCAAAGAGGGGAATTAACAGGCATCCATTAAACATGACACGTGGAACTAGAACAGTCTACCCCAGTTCGACATTCCAACCACCTGAAGAAGGCCGGAGCGTACAACGGCCGAAACGTTGTAATAAATATAGCAATAATACCTCATCTCAGAAATATAGACAGATACTGAACGGCCGAAACGTTGTAATAAATATGATATATACCTCATCTCAGAATTATAGACAGATACAGAATTTACCAAATATCGGTGCAGTTGATTTGAATTATTTGCAACACAATAACTATTATAAAAATGCATACATAATCGAAAAACGAAATCAAAGAGCATTTTGTATCTGTTGACCATATACTGAGAGGTGTCCAGCCCTGGGAACAGCTGCCCGAGGTCACGCCCACTCATTGCACCAGAGAGAGAGGGATCCTAGCCCGGGTGTACGTACTCGGGTCCCCAACTTAAAAACTGACCCTGTGTCACAACTGGCTTAGTGGGGAGACAGAGTAAATACCTAGTGTCTGTTGACGATCCTCATAAAAGCAGACATAGCTATGATTTAGAAATCATTAGAATTGAAAAAAAATTAGGGAGACCTTTACAAATAACGAGATCGAATGAAAAAATGACAAAAGAAAAACTATTGTGCTATTCCCACTTTACTCTGGGACTGACACAAATAAGAAGAATACTTTATCAACATGTAATAAAGATATTTATTTACATCTAAACATTAATACAACGGTTAACATAAACACAATGTCCTTTCCTATATATAGAGAATATGTCAGGCGGATTTATCCATCTGGTGGAGTGAAATAGGTAGTTTGTACCTTTAAAACCCTCGGCAACTGGTACCGTTGTCGGCGGAGAGAATTTCTTCTGTATTACTTCGGATCAGGTTTTTTTTTATTAACCAATGAGAAACCGCCTAACATCATGCGACCAATCTCTCTATATAGAAGCAGACGAATTTTACAAAGCCAGCAACACCAAGAGAGACAATAAGAACTCAAAAGTTACTTAAAGTAAAAAAATACAGGAAATTATTGATTGATTGATTGATTGATTGATACATTTTTTTACGGCTTATCAACCTTTTACAGGTTATTTAAAGTCAAAAATTATTTTTAGATTGTAAGATTTTGGGGGAGGGGAGATAATAATGGTTTCGTGATATAAGTCTTACTAATTAGCCCATAGCTGGAGAGTGAAGATGGATTTATACCTTTCCTAGGGGTGAATATAACGAACCCAACGGGAATTGGAACTCGGCTCTCCGATTAACAATTCCGAGCGATGATCACCACCCGCACATCCAAGCTGATAGCACCTGGTATTGCCAAGCAGTCACCCATTTAGGTACTGAACAGGCTCGACGTTGCTTAACTTTGGTGATCTTATGAGAACTGATGTTTCAACGCGATGTTGCCATAAACCCAGGAAGTAGTAAAGAGCCATGATCTTCAACATCCTGAAAGGACATAGCAAATAAAACGTGAGCAAATCAGTGAATATACCGGTTGTAACAGCAAAATTATCCAAATAGTGTATAAGCAAAATTGTCCATTTGTTAGATTAAGCTTTCAACCGTTGTAACTTAGAAATGATATCTCCGCGGCATTTATAACACTATCAAACTCTACTTTGAGCAATAAGAATGCATAATTACTCTCTAAGCTTAACAGAAGCATCATGATGAAATCGATCATAAACGAAAATTACATGTTCATCATTAATTAATCATAGCTAAGGATCGGATGCTCATGAAGTATTGAAATAAAGTTCAAATATATATATATTATTCCAGGATCATTTTCCAACATTCAAGATGATCTTCGCCCGCTCTAAACTTCTAACTTTCTGTCATGGAGTAACACGTTGCCTTACTGGTTTCACATACGATTTCATTTTCAAAACTTTTTTTTTTTTACTGCTCTTTGGACTGTCAAAGGTGAAACTCCTCTCTCACGTGCCAAACGTCTTATGATTTGAGTTGGATTTTTTCTAAGTGATCTCTTTAGCTCTAAGTTGAAATGAAAGTTGAAAGCAATTCAAATTGTTCATATACGGCTTATAATTAAAGTGATTTCTTTCCAAATTAGTCAAAAGGACATGGCTACTGGAGAAAATAAACTTGTTCTTAAGATTGGAATAGTTATCGTTAAATTGATTTGTTAGCTCAGAAAGCTAACATGACAAAATATTAAAGTCATTCGATATAGATAGTTTTATTCTTTTGCCCTCGGAGTTAGCTCCTCCTTAATTCCCCTAATTGTCACTAGGGGTCATTCTCCTATACTATAAATACTGGGCGACTCCTCGCCTCGTCCTCTTTTTCTTCAGTCCTCGTGCCACATCCCACCTCGCGTGGAGGTGAGTTAAATCCTCTTTTCCTTTCTTCATTTCAGCGACTACAATGTAAGCGATCTTTGAAAATCTGGGTCTTCCCATTTGTGGAAGACGCCGTAAATATTATACACAAATACACGTACGTACGAACATTCACCAAAAATACGAACATTCACCAAATAACAGACACAAATGTTCACACACACACACACACACACACACACACACACACACACACACACACACACACACACTAATGTCATTGTCTGTGTCCATTGTAAAACTGTTTTGTTTTACATATATTTGTTTATATATATAGGTCTTATTTGTTTGTCTTCTTTATCTTCAGTTGGACTTAAGTTGAGTCTGGCAGTTTTCTTGTAGTTGGACCTTTTAATATTCTACCAGGAGTTACACACGTGTTTCTAACACAACAACACGCAAATACACACACGGTACTCTACAATAGTATTAACATTCTAATTTCTGATTAAATTAAATATTACAAGCTTAAGTTAGAAATTGTTCAATTATTGTTTCTTTGAAGTATGAAAAAAGAATCAAAAAGCGAACTAATAAGAAGCAACCTTATAAATTTATTGTGTAAAGAAGAAAATAAAAAAGAGAATTAAGAAGTAGGAACGCTATAAAATGTACGTGTGAATGAGGAAAGAAGAAAAAAGGGGACTATGAAGAAGTAATGTTATAAAATTAACAAGTGTGAAGACTAAAAGAAGAAAATTGAACTAAGAAAAAGCAACGTTATAAAAGTAATCAGTGTGAAGACAAAAAGAAGAAAAAAAGACTTATGAAAGACAATATTATAAAATTAATAAGTCTGATGAAGAAAAGAAGAAAACTAAGAAGACAACTGATTTCTTTATAAAAAAAGAATAATTTATTACGAACTTTTAAATGTGCAAAATAGGGTCTATGAAAATTTGTGACGTCTGTTCCACAAAAAAGGCTTATTTAGCAAACAACCAAATGTCAGTAAATTTATATTTTTTGTTCTGTTAAGTCATACGAAATAATATACAAGTACCTTTTTTAACAATAAAAGTTTTCAATCTGGGAATCTTTTCTTTCTTGGGTTTATATCATCGAAAAAAGAACGCGTTAAAAAAATCAAAGAACCATCCCTGTTCCTGCTAAATAATTTTTTTTCTTATAAATTCTTTCATCCTCTTTTTAAATCTTATTCACCGTTCTCTTGATGGTTCTTGAGTGGACTTTGAAGATGGAAGCCAGACTATGAATGTTGATACCATTACTGAGGGCCTGAATTGTCTTTGTTCTCTTTCACCATTGTTCAGTTGGGAAGAAATAGTGGGTCTAGCACAAAACAATTTTAATCTGCCCTCTTTTTTAAAGCTGAATAACTCAAAGGGTTTTTCAGTGATTCTTACGAAAAATGGTGTCAAGATGGCTGAACAAACCTGGCAAAAAGAAACTCAATTTGTTTAGTGTTTTTTTCTTTTTTTTTCTTTTTTTTTTTTAGATATTAAACATTTTGTGGGATGTTTAATTATGGTGTTACACGATTTGGACATTTACCTGTTACACTCGGTATAAATAATTCAGAGGAAAATTATATATACAAAGAATAATTTCCCATTTTTAACTAAAGCAACTGACTTGTGTCTCGTTACGCAATGATGAGAATATATATATATATATATATATATATATATATATATATATATATATATATATATATAACTGTCACATCACTTGTGATGATCATCATCACACACATACATATATACTGGCAAAAATTCAAATTATACAACAACAAGCATTCATTGGATAATAAATCAACACTACTGTGTAATGGACAATTTCTAAATCGTAGCTATGCGACAATTTTATAATCGCTATATTTTCATGTAGTCGATTTCGTGCACTTTTGGGTGAATCGACTCCCAGAAGCTTTCGTGAGTCTCCCCAAAGCTCGCTCGCTGATTGGTCAATGCCAACCAAACAGATTGTCTGCACGTGAAGAATGATTCTTCCCGCGCAGCGCTTCGGAGCCAATGATCACCTATAAAAGCAAGAAATATTCTTAGATAATTAGTGAGAATTCAGTTGCCAAATGAATCCATGACATTTGAAACCGTGCGCCAATATTCTCACTCACACCACCACTCACATGCTGAATATTCCTTACACTCACATAATCTTTTCCTTTACACAGCAAAACTGTTAAAAACATTTATTACCAGAAACTATCACGAACTTCTTTCTTTCAGTGAACTTGGGAACACAATTAATAGTTAATGATAGACAACTCTTGTTTTACTCACATCCTAGTTTGTACATCTTGTTAAATACAAATTTTATGCGTAATGATGTCTTTGGTTTATCCTCTTTTTCTTCACATCAGTTCGGTTTCCTGATCTAAGTTAAATTAATGTGGTGAAGTCCGCCACACACTCTTGCTTGGCAGGGGTGTCCACTTCCAGACTATTAAATCTTTAAAATCTGGAAGTGATATTTATATCACTAAGCCAGATAAAGGCTCTGGAGTGGTTATCTTGAATAGTCAGGATTATATCAGTAAAATTGAAATCATTTTACATGATAACGTAAAATTTAGGAAAACTTGTCCCGTAAGTACTTGTGACAAAACTAATAAAATAGAGGAAAAAACATGCAGAGATGGTTTTACTCAGTTTTTAAAAGTAAAACCTAATTTCCAAGGAGGATTGAACTTAAGGTGCATAAGAACAATGTGCGTCTTAGACCAATTCTATCTCTGATAGGCTCCATACAATATGAAATAGCGAAATGATTGGTCGAAATCTCCAAACTGTTTTCTGATTCGCTCTCCACTTACTGATCTCTGATTTAATTAGAAATTTGTTCTGATAAGGAGCTTTTTGACATTGTAAGTTTGTACACGAAAGTTCCCCTTCTTCAAGACATCTTGCAAATTTGTACCGATGCTCTCTCTAATGGTCACCGGCGTTAATCCCAAAAACTCTGTTTTTGGAGTTTATGCATTTAGCAATAGAGGGGGTTGATTGGTTTGGTTTAGTTTGTTTTGTTTTACGGCATATCAACACCTCAATGAGTTATTTAATATCAACAATATTTTTATTGCTGGTAATATTTCCTTTCCAAAAATGTATAACTGGTAATAATTTTATTTTTCAAAAACGTATTGCTACAGAAAACTTCAACCAATAAAAAACCGTACTAGGCAAATCAACAAATCTCATTGGTTAACGACACAATAATCTGAAAGTTTCACGTGCAAAACAAAATTGCGCCAAAACTTCTTTGAGCCGATTTTGGACTTTCAAAACTTATAAAAGAAAACGCCGACTGACCAAAGCAGTCAGAGACGAACATCCACAGAGAAATTGCCAACATACTCCACGTCACTCGAAATCACGATTTTATCGCGCAAAAGTACATCAACGCTGACTCACTTGCAATTTAAACTCGACCAACTCCGTGGACAACGAATCGCAAACCTAAAACAACTTTGCTTATCCAAAGTGAATTATATTTACTACATATTATGTAAAAAAAATCAACGTTCGAACGATTCAGAAATATTACAGTCAAAGGTAGATCACTCCATAAGAACTCATTCCTAAAACACTTAATATCGACATTTTTAATATTAACACAAATCTAGAAAGACTGTAAGTGAACATACGAATACTGAGAGAGTCATACTGAAACCTCAAATATCACACACACTTTGCCATAGTAATATATACCAAAATATCCTGTATATATATTACTTTGAATTGTATATAAATGTTTTATTGGTTTCTAAATTGAATATGTCTTGTTTTTTATTGTATTTCAAATTCGTTTATTTATTTGTTTGTGGATGCAGAAAGTCACGCAACCTACACAAATTCCTTCTGATTCTCTCAATTATAATTAATTAATTCTGCACATCCCCAACAAAATTGGTAACCCCGACGTACGAAATCAAAATTGGTAACCCCGACGTACGAAAACAAAATTTGTGACCACGACGTGCGACAAGTAAAAAAAAAACCCGTCACCAACCAAATTGGCAACGCCGACGTTCATAAAAACTCGTCATCAACAAAATTGATGACCCCGACGTTCGATGACGACGTCACCAACAAAATTAGTGACACCGACGTTCAAGGAATATACAAGCCATCACATACATTGATAACCTCGACGTGCGAAGGATCCAACAAGAGTGACGACCCCAACGCGCGGGAAGAAATTAAATCGACACGTGTTGTCTTTGAACCGACAGATCGAAGATCCAGAAATAAAACCACGACGTTATAAATGGCTGATCCAGTTCCTCTCACAGAAACAGCAACCAGGCTTGAAATGCCTGCCTTCAACCCAAACGTTCAGACGTGGTTCCTACAGTTGGACGCAATATTTCAGGCCAGACACGTAACTTCGCAACAGTCAAAATTTGCGTCCGTGGTAGAGAAGTTACCCGCGGAGGTAGCGGCTGAAGTAGCCGACATATTAACCTCTCTACCAACAGACAAGCCGTACGAGACCCTCAAACAAGAAATCCTGCATCGGACCGGATTTTCGGAAGAAAGAAAAATAAGAGATCTCTTAACAAATGTAACAATCGAAGATTCGAAACCGTCCCAATTACTACGACGCATGCAACAACTGTTGGGCGACAACAACATATCAGCCACAGTATTTCGCCAAATGTGGCTGGACAAATTACCATCAGACATGGTACGAATCTTGGCTGCATTAACAGACGACGTTGACATACAAAAATTGGCAATGATAGCAGACAAAATAGCCGATACTGCCCCGGTACGACAAATTTCCTCAACAGGGACCGTGGTTGGCCTTGTGCCAGATGTCAACCAACAAATTCAAAAATTGTCCTCAGAACTAAAAAGAATATCTCTACAACTGCAAGAATTACAAAAACCACATGAAAGTCGACGTGATAATTTTACGCGACACAGAAACCGTGGTTCAAGATCGACGTCTCGCCATAAATACCAACAACGCCGTGATCGTTACCAACATGCCAATTGCTGGTACCACGAAAATTTTGGCGCGCGCGCGAAGAAATGCCGACCACCATGTTCGTATGAAAAAGTTACTTCCAAACAAACAAGCGGGAAACGGACTCGCTGGCACCCAGTAGAGACGTTGGATGCCAGATATTTAAAAACTAATCGTCTCTTTTATATCCACGACAGAGCGACAATGCGTGTATTTCGTTGAAATGTACACAACCCTAGAGACAGTTAGCATAAACTCATCGACAATCAAGACTCTGAGACATAGTATGTTTTAGACACAGGTTTATTGACAGTCGACAAAGGTAAAACTGAAAGAAAATAAAAAACACGTTTCTTCAGAAATACAGAAATACAAAATGAAGGTGAATATTTACTAAGACCTTAAGTAGTTGTAGGTACGATAAGCACAGAATAGAAGCATTTGAACATAAAAAATACTCATAGAAAGAAAAGAATACAAATTATGCTGAGTAACAGTCGAGTTCAGAGAGGAAAGATGGAGGTTCCGCACGTGGTGAGAAGGTAAACAAAGTTCGTATATAGGAAGGAAATGATACTAAAAAATAATGCTTGAAGGAAGGAAGAAAGGCGATAGTTCTTACCGGAGATGTCCAAGAATGACGAGATATTTAAAGGATGAAAACTATGCCATGCGGCCAAGCTGGGGGCATGCCATGTGGCCGTGCTGGGGGCAGCTAAACTAGATAGAGGCTGAGCACCGGGAACCTTCAATCGGTGTAGGGTCAGAAAGAAGCCCCCAAGCAAAGGGGCCTGTAAAGGGAGATGAGTGCTAGTAGGTCTGTTGTACACAGAACAGAACACTCCCCGCCTGACGTCTTGGACGTCAAGGAATGTGCTAGTTCTCGTCACAGAGAAGGACAATCCTGGTAACGGGTCTGAGGAGGTGTTTAGTTCACTCAGTTCGGTTGCCGGGAGGGCGGCACAGAGCTCCAGTCTGGGAACTGAATGTTCGGGTCGTGGGGCAAGTTTCGCTTTCCCCATGACGAAGCCAATTTGGTTGTTTCCTTTATCGTCGGTGACCTCGAGATAGGCCACTGCAGCGATGGCTTTGGTCAATGCATCGGAAAAGATGTGCAGCTCTTTATGTACTGCTTTTGAGAGTGGTATGTTTGTGAAGGCCCTAGGGATTCTGACCTCGTTTAGCGCTTCCAAGGAGTCTCTCCATGAAGACCAGATTTTGTGCATTTCTTGAGGAAGAGGTGAGTCCCACTCGCTGTTTTCATGGGTTAGCTCTCTCAAGATTAACTTTCCTTGAATGGTGACCGGGGCGGCAAATCCCAAGGGGTCATACAGACTGTTGAGGGTCGATAAAACGCCCCTACGTGTAAAGGGTCTTTGTATCGCAGGTTTCTTATCGAGGCTACGTCTCAGTGAAGAAAGTCGACTCTCTGCCAGTTTCCTGTTATATGGGAGACGACGTCGGGGAGATCTAAAGGGTAGAGGAGCGACCCAGCTGTTGTCTTTGTCTTTCTCGGCTCCCAGCTCCATGATGTTCAGGAAGGCGATATCTTCAATAGAAGGCGCCGCCCTTTCGTCGTCCTTGGTCCGTTGAAATAGGTGGTCTTCCATCTCGGTAGAGTATGGCCTCTTGCTGATGCTGAAGCTCTCTTTAATTTCGAATCTGTTCGGGCACGGTTCGAAAAGGGTAGGGCGTCCCCATCGGATATATATGTATGCAATGTGTTTATTATGGTGGGTGGGTGAAATTTCCCTAAACAGACATTGCCAACTATGACCCATCCGAGGTCCAGTTTCTGTGCATATGGGGCATCATGGGGGCCGTTTATATGTTGGCGCACTTTGTGTACCTTTAGAATGTCACGCCCCAGAAGGAGCATTATAGGAGTTTTAGGCTCCACGGTGGGGATGAGGTGTGCTATTTTTCTCAGATGTGGGTGGTGGAGGGCTGCCTCAGGAGTTGGGATGCCGGACCTGTCGTTGGGTATTTTGTCGCATTCGACGAGACTTGAAGTGGATGTTTTTCCCGTCTAAGGATTCCACCTGGAAGCCTGACGCTCTTCTTCCCATGGTTTGTATAACTCCGGCACAAGTTTTAAAAATAGGGAAACTGGGCCCATCATTTTTAAATGTGTCAAAAAGTCTGAGCGTACCAAAGACCGGTTGCTTTGTTCATCGATGATGGCGTACATCCTCACTGTTTTGTCTGGTTGGTCGGCAGGGTAGACATTGACGAGGCATATCTTGGAGCACGACTTTTCTGAGAGTTCACCACCGCAAACTTGTGTGCACTGCGAAACCAAGTAGCTATAGGGGGTTATCCTCCCGCCGTTCTCTGCAGCGGATCTTATGCTGATGGGCCAAGGTGGTGGTCCTGGATGGAGAGCAGTGTTGTGTTCTTCACTGTTACACTCATTGCATGTAATATTCATTCTGCAGAATTTCGCTATGTGTGCTGTGGAGGAGCAACATTTGAAACAGATGCCATTGTTTCTTATAAATGTCTCACGCTCTTTCAAGGGTTTCTCTCTCGAAAGGCGGCATTTCAACAGTGAGTGGAATTTTTTTGTGTAATGGGCAATATTGGGTGGGGTCGTTGTCATCTTTGTTTTGCCGACGCGTGGTGTTGAAAACTGTGGGGGACACTTCGGTCTTATTCACCGATACCACCCTTTGTTTGCTCTCTTGTGAGGGGAACCTACCCACCAGTGAATTGACCTTGAAACTTGGATCATTTTTTATCCTAGCTTGTTGTGTAATAAAGTTTACAAATACCTTAAAAGGAGGGAACGTAACTTGGTGCCGCTCCTTATATTCGGAACCAACAGACAGCCATCTGTCCTGAAGTGAGGATGGTAGTTTGGTTATAAAGGGGCGGAGCCCTCGAGCAGTGTCCAGGTAGGCGAGGCCAGGAAGGTTTCCATCTTCCTTAGCTGACAAGAGTTCGGTAGCTAAATCGCTGAGTTCCCTAAGTCTAGGAAGATCGTTGTTTGACAGTCTGGGGAAGTCATCTACTCGTTTGAAGAGAGCATCCTCTATCATTTCAGGAGCCCCGTAACACTCCTCGAGTCGGGCCCATATTCTCATGAGCCCTCTTTCTGGGTGGTTCAGGTGGGCTGACCTTAGCCTCCTCGCATGTTCCCCTGACTCTTTACCAAGCCATTTTACGAGAAGGTCCATTTCCTCGCTGTATGTGAGACCGAGGTGTCTGATGGCACTCTGGAAAGACCTCTTCCATGCTCTGTAGTCTTCAGGTCTATCGTTAAAAGGTGGCAGTCCAGTAGTGATGAGTTCCGCCGGGTGAAGTCCTCACAAGGTCTGAGGTATATTGAGACTGGGAGGCGTCCCTGATGTTGGTGGGGTACCGGTCGTTAGGAGGTTCTGGTGTCTTCGACACGTGAGTTAGGGGAGTGATAGCTGATAATAGGTGGGGTTGTCTGGGTAGGTCTGTCTGGGCTCCCTGGCCTATGAGGGAGAAGTCGGTCTCCGCGTTCAAACCGGCCATACTGGTATCCCTGAACGATTTGTTCATTAAGAGGTGGTTGGGGTCCAGTCATCTCTTGTTTCGGTTGGCTTGCTTGGTCGGCTAAGTATTCTCGGACCCGTGTGCTAGGGTCAGCGGGAGTGCAGTCGAGTTTTGAGTGGCTGCAGCTGGACCGTTCTTTTTAGCTCGTCGGCAGCTTCCTCAGAACTTCTGCTTCAGCTACGGCAGCAGCCGTCTCCTTTTCAAGCTGTAGTTTCTCCAACTCCATCCTTATTTTTAGCTCCTTGTCTGTGAAAGCTAAACGTGTTTTGGCTGCTTCAGCCCTAGCTTGGGCGATATAGAGCAGCAGCCATAAAATACACGATCTGCTGGAAGACCGAGAGTAGCGGAGGCATGAGTCCTTGACCGATTTGACACGTTGTCTGCCATTGTTAAGAAAAAAAGGATGATTCGTGGTAGAAGAGAGGCCGAAAGAATAGCTTCGTTATATTGAGGATAGTTTTTTCAAGCGAACTGTGTGACACTACTGTTGTTGGTGTTGCGTCCGTAGTTCCGACGGTTGGTGTAGACCACGAAATATCCGACCATTAGGGGGCCTCCGTTTTACTGTACTGTCTCCGGGATGCGTGTATTTCGTTGAAATGTACACAACCCTAGAGACAGTTAGCATAAACTCTCATCGACAATCAAGACTCTGAGACATAGTATGTTTTTAGACACAGGTTTATTGACAGTCGACAAAGGTAAAACTGAAAGAAAATAAAAAACACGTTTCTTCAGAAATACAGAAATACAAAATGAAGGTGAATATTTACTAAGACCTTAAGTAGTTGTAGGTACGATAAGCTTACAGAATAGAAGCATTTGAACATAAAAAATACTCATAGAAAGAAAAAAAAAGAATACAAATTATGCTGAGTAACAGTCCTTAGTTCAGAGAGGAAAGATGGAGGTTCCGCACGTGGTGAGAAGGTAAACAAAGTTCGTATATAGGAAGGAAATGATACTAAAAAAAATGCTTGAAGGAAGGAAAAGGCGATAGTTCTTACCGGAGATGTCCAAGAATGACGATATTTAAAGGATGAAAACTATGCCATGCGGCCAAGCTGGGGGCATGCCATGTGGCCGTGGGGCAGCTAAACTAGATAGAGGCTGAGCACCAGGAACCTTCAATCAATCAGAAAAAGCCCCCCAGCAACCTGTAAAATATTGAGTGCTAAGGTCTGTTGTACACAGAACAGAACAAGCGGTTTAAAATTTTTAATTGACACCGGTGCCCAAATAAGTGTCCTGCCTCTCAAAAATTGCAGCAAACAGACTCTGGTCAAGCATACATCTTTCAAATTACAGGCCGCTAATGGCACTCCGATCACCACTTACGGCGATCGAACCCTAACGCTAGACATCGGCCTGAGACGAGAATTTACGTGGACTTTTACTATCGCAGATGTTGCAATGCCGATCATAGGAGCGGACTTCCTAACCCATTACAAATTATCGGTTGAGTTGGCGTCACAAACCTTAACTGACACTAGCACTAATCTACAACGTTGTGGTTTCATTTCCAAGTATTCGACAATCGGTCTGACGACTGTTATACCTACAGCCAATGGCTACAATGAGATAATACGTCAGTACCAATCGCTACTGTCACCGTCAACCCATAATGAACCTGTGAAACATCACGCCACTCATAGTATTAAGACCACAGGACCTCCAGTTCATTCTCAACCTCGCAG